TATCTGCTTCGACGCCAAATCGCTCCCCATAAGTTTTCGTTCATGACGCAGTACTTCACAGGCGGCGGCACTTCCCAAACCACCTAGCTTCACCAACTGAGAGGACCGCGCGAAATTCAATGCGTGAAAGACATGATTGATATGAGGGTTTTACATCCCAAAACCACCATATAATTATGAAAGACCCTGTAGTTGAGGTCACCGCAAATTTAGACCACCTGGGGTTGTATAATGTGCACCCAAATCTGAGCACACGGGCCTACATAATTTCCTCCTCCAACGGAAATTAAGCCGCCGCAGCCTGGATTCGATCCAGCGACCTGCGGGTCAGCAACCGTGTACCTTAGCCACTAGGCTGCCGCGGCGGGGCAGTGAGAGACATCAGACGCGTTTTTATAGCCTCGGCAAGTGCGTTAGTATCGTATAGCCTGCATAGAGCGCCAGGCGCCCATGTCACAGACCAAGAGGTCGTGGGTTCAATTACCGGTAGAAGAGCTTAATCTGCTAGTTTTTTTTCTTTACTCATCTGTTAGTGTGCATTTTACTGACGTCATATTTGTGACAAAAATGCGTTAGTGAGGTCGTCGTGAACTACGGCATAAAACACATTTGTGTTAAAATAGGGGAAAACACGTAATGAAAAGAAAAACAAAAGCTACATAGCCATGTGAGCATCTTGACGTTGTGCTCAATCTGCATGCATCATGATCACTTTGACGGCAAGGCAGTGAGCGTGAATTCAGACATCAACAGATGCACTCTTTTGACGAAGCTAGATCTGACACAAAAAATTTTGCTGCTACTTTTGTAGGTCAAGTAATTCACCACCCATTACGCTACCGCAATCTCTTGAAGTAGCTGCAAATAACAAATAATTGCAACCTAAATTACGAACATAACACTGACAAGGTGCGCACAATTTCTTTGAATGTGTTTTTTTTTTACAACGTCTGCAACGCGACGTAAAAATGAGAGCGCGATGTCACGTGTGTCCCAATGTGATCACGCTGTCGAAAGTTTTAAACGATGGACAGCAATTGAACTCTGCATTCGTCCCAGCGGACTCTTTCCCTTGGAGCTGCGGAAAGAGATATATCAGGCAACCAGGTAGGTGTGTGAGCTACGGCCCGAGGGAGCGCAGACAACATTGTTAGAAAGACCCTTCTTCAAGGCTGCTTGGTTTTAGATTGTTAAAGTGCCAGTGTAGCCTGCGTACTCGTTTTCAGGCAGTGTATAAAAAAGAAGCAAAATTTCACAAGTGAAGTGATAAACGCTCATGAAATCAACAGCGAGAGAGAGAGAATTGTTTGAGCACTGCTTCTTTGAAGCTCTCAAAAGAGGAGATTATATAATTTGGTGTATAGATCTACAAGAGGCAAAGTGCCAAATGATGATAGTCGTACATTTATATTTTCAAGCTGTTTGACTTCGAGATCACTGCCATTGGCTGGTTTGGTGTATGTCTGTTTTGCCCCTTCCATGTAAACTATCAATTACCGTGGATATTGCCTGCTCTATCTTTACCCATGTTCAAATTAACCAACTCACCAAACCATCCTCGCGAGTAAAATAATATAATAATGTTGTGCTAGCTTCTCACGTGCTTTGCAGTTTCCGGGAAAATGTTTAGAGAATATTTAGCAACTTCCTGTACACTGGCTTCTTTCTGCTAAAGACAATTCTTGGTGGCTTTTAACTAAGTGATCAGCAAGCTCGCTATGCTGCCGACCAGATGCTTTGTAGGTATGGCCGCAATAATATTTTGTAATTATGATAGTTTTCTTGCACATTTAAACAAGTTTAATATTATCGAGTTTGCTAGAATAATGATTTGGGGGTATACGCGTCGGTACACTGTGTATACGTAGAGCCCCCAGCTAACTCTACCCAGATTTTAAAAATGTGTCGATGCAGTTTATGACGGCGTGACCAAACGCATGTTGTTTAGAATTACATTGCGTAAGCCGCATTATTTCCAGCGTTTTTGTTTCATTGCTTAATAACGTAAGCATCAAGCAAGCCATTTCTAGGGCAACGGAGCTACGAAAGATATTTCAATCAGAAAATTGAAGATCGGTTGGCAAAACGACCGATTATAAAGTTTCCGAATTTGTATCTATGAAGTAGTCTATCATACATGAGGTACACAACGTTTGAGTCTGGTTCTTGATGGAGCTGGCGGTGCGCTACATTTTATGTTTTCAGAACGCCGCGTTCACATGCCGTCCTGCTCGACGAGACTGCCACGCTGGCGGGCGTACGTGAAGAAGGATTACAGCGCTACGGCGGCGCCACCGAGAAGCACGTGGTGAGCGACTTCACACCGAATGCAGCCAGCACGTGTCATGAACGCCCTCGTCCTTACTCTGACCACCAGCAGCCACGCGGTCGAGTATCGCGTTTCAATCACCAAGTACTTTACATACAGCCTAATAGTCATAACTCACAAGGCGACATCCCATAAAGTATGAAGCCTCTTCTACATAGGCATCTGAGTCTATATATTTAACGACTAATAAGCTGCGTAAGTTCAAACCGCTTCTTTCTTTCTTTATCGCTCGCTCTCATGTACCATGATACTCAGGCGTGAGTGCATTTTTTCATGATACCTGCAATCAATTCCTGCTGCTGCGACAAGCACAGCACTAGCATGCAGCCGAATCGTCTCCACTGCGCCTAACTGGACTTCAGCCGCTCAACCCGGATTCCTGGCTACGCACGTGGCTGGCAATCAAATCAGGCTCGGCGGTCCCTTGTGGCTTTGCACCCCGGCCACGCAGCGAGCGCTACCAGCGCTACTTCGCCGAGCGGCCTTCATCGAGTTTCCCCCCGGGGATGGTGCCGGCGCTTCCGGTGTCGCGGGTTCGGGCCAGGAACGAGCGCATCGCGGCACACGAGCGCTCAGACGGACACAGACTACAAGCTGAGCCCCCTTAAAATGCTCGACAGGCGGGTTACACTGGAGTCACGCTCAGTGAACCATAGCCTCTAAGTGGATAGCTCACTCCTGGTAACAAGGACACTGATGAACGACGCTCAAAAATCAAACTGCATAACGAACAATAGAATTAACAGCATTATATATGTGTAACTTTGATACCGAGAAAAACTGTAGCTCCGATTTAAGCACTAAATCTCGTTTCACTGGTGTTCCAAGCTCGGTAACAAACAAAAATCCAGCACTACCCCCACCCATGTCGTCGATCGTGACGATGGGCATCAGCTTTTCAGGACTGGTAGCTCAAAGATGGTTTAGGACAACGCTAGAATTCAAGGTTTGTCTCCGCAAGAAAGGTGTGGATGCAATTAAATAGCGCGCCCTATAGAATTCTGTGAGTTAGACAGCTCATAGTCGGCCACTTTGTGCGTAAGCTTTCATAGAGCAAAAGATGAACAAGTGGACTTGTAGAGCTGTGGCACTCGATCGCATTAAGAAAAGACTGTTTTGGGCGAGGAAAATTTCAATAAAAAATACCGAAGGTGGGCGCCGAATGACAAATAGATGTTAAGAATGAAAATATTTGTTGTGTTGGCACATGAGCCAGGTTTAACAAACTTCTAGGACCAAAAGTCGACAATTCTATAAAATATGTCGCATAACGAAGCTGGTACCATTACTTTACAGATATGTTTAAATAAGTTGTGTTTTAAATATGACTTTACCGTAAAGAAGATGTAAGTTTGTGTCTCTGATTCCAGATAAAAGTTCCACGGTCTTGGCAAAATTCTTAGACAATGCTGACACCACTGCTATGCGCACCATATTGTTTTATGCAATAACGACGAACTGTCAGCAAACGACATGCATAGCATAGACCGGCGGCAAGCAGTGGCATTTATCGAGTTATCGTGGCACATAACCGTTTATGATGTAGCAGGACGGCGACAAGATACGCCAACAAGCCGTGCTGCCTTGCCCCATAAAACAGCGACCTATTTCTCCGGGGTTGGTCAGTCCGCCAGTGGTATTGTCTACACAGTGCCAAGGGCACTTAAACGCGTTGCTTCCGCCAGGCTGTCTTAAAGGGGCCCTGTAAAACTATTTGAGCATGGTCAGAAAGCGCTGCTGATCTTAGGCGATGCTGCCAAGAACGCGCGAACCAAACATTGTGAGCATGCTTCCTGAAATTTAAAATTAATTCTCGGTCAGCTAGAAACAGCACCTTCTTCTCCTTAATATCGGTTCCATAGACCTAAATTGAGACACCATGTACTCAAAGTTCACGAGCGTTGCCTGAATCGAGCATCGTGAGCTGCATAGTTACCGCGCCTGCCACGGGATCCCGCCACAGTGAGTTCACGATTAGGGTAAGCCGAGCATTCGAAAAAAAAGAAAACATAAGTGCTGGAAGGTGATGCGCCCGCTCACGAAATGACGCAACTTCTTGTGCCCTTGTCATTTCTCCTCCCTGCGTAAATGTCAGCGCGTTCGCCAGTACGAAAGGAGAGAGAAGGCGCTTGAAGCGTGAGAGAAACGCCCATAACGCAGTCACCCATTCTGCGATGCAGTGCAACTACGGGCGTGTTCACTGCTCGGCCGTAGTTAGGATACCATCTTTAAAACATCCCATCAAGGTGATGACGAAGCAGAAAGAAACAATGCGACACACGCCTTTTCAGAGCCTTTTTTGAACTCTCGGGGTAAGTATCACAGGCACATGCGCATGGTACCTGCTATGCCATGAGTGAACTCTTATGCAATAGCTTGCGTATTGGTTGTTTCTTTCAACGTCATAGTTACAAGAATAAGTACCTCAATTCACATAATAAACACGCAACCGGATATGACAAGTTAATAATTGTCACATGCTCGAATTATATAGAGCGATCACGGTAATCAGCGTCCACACATATTTCCAGACAGAAACTGTTGTTCTGCGCCCATCTTTGCTATTAGCAACTTTGAGCGTGAGTCTTCCACGAAACGGGGCTTCCGCGGCTAACTCAGGCCGCCTACGTCGACTAAAACAGACGTGTCAACGCAGGCGTATGCAGCTTACCGGACGTAGTCGTGTCGGCAGTAGACGCTTCCGTGTCGCACGAAGCACGACGGCTGCCGGTCCAAGGGTGCCCCGCACACACAGCACCGCAAGCAGCGTGCGTGCCACGAGCTGTCGCTCACACGCAGCAAGAACCGGTCGGCGATCAGCTCCCCGCACGCACTGCACAGCTCCGCCTCGCTCTGCGAAAAAAACATCAGGTATTTTTCATACGCTCACAGGCAGTATGCATACATGCTTCCCGAAGAAGTTTAATCTTTAGCAATAGTTTGGTGTAGTATAGACCCAATCCTTGCTTGTAAGTAGGTGTGGGCGCCGTCGACATACTGATGCGCTGGTAGTGATATCACGGCGCAGGAGGGTCCTCCCTGACTCGAAGCGCTGTGCTAGGAGGCAGCTTTGAAGCTACTGTGCCAGCTGTCACTTGAACATAGAAGGCGGTAGTGAGCCATGGGCTGAGCGGAGCCTGCGCACCCCGACGTCGCTACCAGCACCTCACTATTTCGACGGCGCCTACCGTTGTTCACAAACATGGGATAGGTTCTCGGTAACCAGTGCTCTACTTGCAACTTTATAAAACGCTCCGTGAGGTGAAAACACTGATAAAAAAAACAAAGATGTCTACGTTTAACAGTGTCAATGCGGCACCTTCGCTTGGCGCTGTGCTAAAGTTTATTGATTGTGGCGACAAATCGTGTTGCTTCATAGAATGTGAAAGGGTGCTCCCGCTGACTGCCTCATTGTCATCGGCATAAAGTATATCACTGGTGAAGCCGCGGAAATAGCTGTGCTGTGTATACAAACATCTAACCTTTTCGGCGAACCAAAATATACTTACTTCAAGTTAAAGAACCTGTCTAGCAAGCCCGAGGTTGAAGAAAGCAACTGCGGGCACCCCCGAAAGGTGTTAGCACTTTTGCGCCGCATTGCTACACTGCTGCAGGCAACGCCTTAACAGTTTTCCAGGTAAGTACGCTGCGACTCGTGCTGTCGATTGCATGTTTAATATTGAGTTCTGTTGTCCCATCAAAAGCTGATGGTGCATGCCGTTCCCTTGAATAGAGAAAAAAACGCTATGCCTGGGCCAGAGTATCTTGAGATAAAACAAAGCGTAGTTTCGATTGTAATAGGAGTGCTGCTTTCTTTTTCTTCGCGTTCTTTGTTATTAGGTTTTTAAGGAATAAGTTCATGTGTTTTAGAGCACTTGCTTGTTCATTTTGGCAGTATTTCATATTCAAAGCAGATAAATTCATGCAAACTGCGCACGCGCCGTGCACGTTTGCGCGAGCGTTTGTGTGCGTGTATATGCACACATGCGAAATCAAAAATGTTCGGGGGGAAGAATTACGGCACCTTAACTTGAGAATGGGTAGCACTACGACTTTCACAGAACACAAGCATACACGAAAAATAAGTCACAAACGTACCGCAACAAATTTACTAAGCGGCTTGCTTATATAAAGTAACCATATACTCCCAGCTTAGAGAACCCCGAATATTGATAACAGTGCACACACGCTAAATAATGGAGTACTCACTGAGGGGATTTAGGTAGTCAAGATCGACATAATTAGTACAAAACACCGGAGTTGCCGTCACCTTCTTTCCTATTCGTAATTTTTTTTATTCGCGCCGTTCTCCGTCGCGCATCGCCTGCGTCCTTCGGGAAGTGATAGAACGATACGTTGTCATCTTTCCACCGTGATGGCACACACTGCGGCACATTGCAATGGTCTTTGGACATGGCTTCCCTCTTTTTTGGGCTCGCGCGTGCGTCATGGCGAAAATAAAGGAGCTGTGCAGCCACTTCTGTGCGCACGCAACGTGGTATCATTTCTCATTTCAAGGTTGACTTTGTGAGCACCGTTTCCAGGCGTGGCCGCCAGGTGGCGAGTTGGAGTAGCGAATAGTCCATCTTACTTAGAAGTAAGAAGTCTTACTTTTTTTAAAAAAACTAGCAGTCTTTGGTAGACTCTTGGTCACGGCTAATGAATGTTGATATCACGTGATGAGCAACATGGATTTTATTCCCGGTTCACAAGGGAAAATATCATTGACGGAGAGAAGCACGCATCGTTTTATTTGCGCTCAGTACTGTCACTTGATTGGATTTCTAACAAAACGCCCTGTTTTTATGTCTTTAAAAAACTTGTTTATAAAACTATTTGCAACATTTTGGACATGACCAAGTAAATTTACACTCTAATGAGCGTCATAGAATTCATGTTTTTCTTTCTAACAGCACTCAATTCCTTCCTGCTCATAGTATGGACGTTTTTCTTCTGTTCTCGTGTGATCCCCTAGATTTGTCTATTACTACGCGCATTTTTCGATTATGCATTTTGTTATTATCAAATGCTTGCTAATTCACTGATGATTGTGTGATTAACAGTGCAAAGTCATCTGTACAGGCAAGAGCCGATGTCGTTAATGGTTTCCGCCTGAAGCCATGCACACGCACGTGCGTGCCTTTTCCTTGCCAGAATATCTTGTACTAATACGGGAGCACAGTGTCCATGGTTAAAAGTACAAGCAGACAAGCGGGGGTCGGTGACAAGTGTCGTTTCTGAAAGCGCTTCTGTCGCCATGTTTTATTGTGATTAATTGATTGATTGATTGATTGATATGTGGGGTATAACGTCCCAAAACCACCATATGATTATGAGAGACGCCGTAGTGGAGGGGTCCGGAAATTTCAACCACCTGGGGTTCAGTTTTTTTTTTTTATTGTGTCCGCTCATGCCATCGGCATCATTCTTGTATAAGCCATATTCGTGACTGATTAGGCCTCGTTGCATTTTATAACGGGTCTCCGGAGTCTGTATCGTTTTACACATGTTTAGGTGTCTGTATCCGTACGCACATCATCCCGGTGAGTGCATCACTGCCAACGCTAGCCATGCTCTTGGCTGCTTCAGAAGAAGGGTCAGGAAGGACACTTTCCTAGTTCAGAGTTTCGCAGTCCACTCGTCTCAGATCTTCTTGCTTGGCGGACATGTGTGAAGGCCGATATCTAGTTCCATCGCGTGCGTTTTCCGCTGCGGTACCATGTACTGGTCTACCTAATAAGACACCTTCGAGAGCGCTTTCATGTGTAGTCACATTACAAATGTGAAAAGGTCAGCCACCTTAATCATGCTAGCCACGTAGGTGGCATGCTAAAATTTTGTTTCCAGCTCTGATCGGTGCTCCCAAAACAGACGACGCAGGCGCTGTGGTTATGTCATGGTAGCACTGGCGATACCGCGAGCTTTTTCAGTGACCGGCTTCGCACCGACCAACGGCTAAGCGACCATTCACCAAGCGAGTTCTTAACGTTGATGATTGATTGATTGATATGTGGGCTTTAACGTCCCAAAACCACTATATGATTATGAGAGACGCCGTAGTGGAGGGCTCCGGAAATTTAGACCACCTGGGGTTCTTTAACGTGCACCCAAATCTGAGCAAACGGGCCTACAACATTTCCGCCTCCATCGGAAATGCAGCCGCCGCATTAACGAGCCGTAGTTAAAAATATTATAGCTGTGGTCCGCCCATTGAATAACCCCAGGGGATAAAAACTTCCGGATTCGTCCACTACGGCGCCTCTCACAATCCCATCATGGCTTAGGGACGTAAAACTCCAACAACTACTAAAACTATGTCGCCGGAAGTTTCTTTACCACTTACTTTCAGCACCAAGTGAGGCGTGCAATGTTCTTTACTTCTGCAGCGTCGGCTATTAGAGGAATACATGTCAGTGCACAAGGCTGGACACATTTTATGGAGGTAGCGCAACATTAGCAAAGCAGGCAGAAATAACAATGTTGAAGCTCACAGGTGTGTTCATCTCAGGCAGGCTAAGGCACCGTAATTACTCCAAAGCGTCACAGTTTTTCTGCAACGGTGAATCATTTATTGCGACAGCAACTAACTCGAATGCTATCTGCAAAGTAAGGTAAGCAGTTTTTTTATCATTGAAACCTGCGTAAGCCGACAAAACACTGGTGTATGAACTTTACGCCACTGCAACTATCCAAGATACCCTGGTGCTGTCTATCACTTCGTCGCAAACCAAGCGGTGAAAACTGCACACAAACGTATAAGGGATCAAATCTCGGCTGCGGCGGCTGCATTTTCGATGGAGGCGAAAATGCTATATAACCGTGTGCTCGGGCTTGTTTGCACGTTAAAGAACCCCAGGTGGCCGAAACTTCTGTAGCCTTTTCCTACGGCGTCTCTCATTGTCATATTGTGATTTTAGGACGTTGAACCTCACATAGCAATCAAGCAATGCACTTACGTACAAAGCTGTAATGTGTGGCTGTGTTCGCACGCCTTCACGTATTCATAGAATGTACAACTAAGGACGCAATCTTATCAGTTTGTGCTTTATACGCATAATCACGGTGGTGCCGACAACGACGCCAAAAACGCGCCACCAGTAATAATTTCCGTCGTCATGAAACAACAAAAGTAAGGTAAATAAAAAATCTTTCTATTTCGAAAGCCGCCGAAAGAGCGAAGCTGACGCCCCCTTTTCTCGGGTTGCTGAGTTTCTCTAATTTGCAAGTCTTCTCTGTACACGGCTGTGTTGTGTCAATCTTCTTTATTTGTTACACTATGTTAAGTGGGGGAAGTATATATATATTATACTATTACATCTGCTTTTACTCTACACAGCTCTTTCTTGAGGCATAAGAGTTTGCTGGCAGCGTACGGAAAGCATTTCTTTGTTCTTCAGGTAAAGCTATTCGGATGCCACTGAGCCATTTGAACAACAATATGCTCCTTCAAGCGAGCCCTGAAACGCTACGATGGCGTTCTAGAGCAATCATGGCCCATTGCAGCTGGCCGCTCGTTCAAAGCGCGTATTTCTATTACGGCTATCCTCGAACGCTGCCCTGAATGGCATGCTAGCCTCGCCTAATGAGTTTAGCGAGGCGTCGTTGAATGCACGCTCTCTCCCACTCTGAGCGAACCCTTCTCCCACCCCTCTCGGGGATGACAGCCATTTTCCGTTCCTACCTAGCTCTACTACCGGGGCACTGCAAGTCCACTTGACCCATCGTGACGCCCTTTCAATGAGGTGGCTCTGCGTGACTACTTTCCACGGACATGGCTTGCCCCTATAAAACTATGTGGTTAAAGTATAGCGTCTGGCAGCGCACAACATGAGAAAGGACAAACAAGAAACAGA